TAATATCATGGTCTGTAGTGCCATTTTGACCAAGTCTGAGAGTTTCAAGTAATTTAAAAGAAAAATGTTTATAGAATCTTAAACAGTATTTCTATAACTTCAAAACAAAGAGTCAATTCAGAAGAGAAAAAACAGTCAAATTGGGCACTTAGATGAAATGAGTATTTAAGTAAAATACTTTGGGAACTGTGTTCAGAGTTGATTTATTTTATCATATCATCCAAACCACATTACAATTTATTGTTTTAAATTATCATAGGTTTAATAGTGATGTAATTCAATAAATATGACTATGCTTATATATTTAAATAACCAGCTATGAAATAATACCAGCTCTGTTATCTTAATTGAATGAGTATTTTTTTAATCCCTAAAATTAAGAAAAGTATTAAGGTGGATAGGTCAAGTAGTTTTATTATGCCATCATTCTTTCAAGTGAAGAAAATGAAGTAAAAAGTGGAAATGGATGGACCAGCCTACTGACTGTTTTTAAATGTGTATGTTAAAAAATTTCAAGTTACACATTCAACTTAGATGGCTAATACTGTAATTACAATGTGCTTATATCTTGATTAGATATAGTTCTTTGAAGAAAATCAGTTAACCTTTTTTAGTGAATGCTTGAGTATTAGGAAGATGACTACTAATGATCAGATCACCACTGTAATAGCATGAATTGAAAGGAAAAAAGACAAAACATTGCTAGATAAGTATGAAACTACTTAAATAGTGGGAGGGATAAAGTGAATGACAGGAGCAATCTCAAGGATTACCGTTTTGGCACGAAGATTCCAGCTTGCCAAATAAATTGACCAAAGAAAGAGAAAGTCAACAGATTAACTTCAAGAATTAAACATATTAGTGGATTTTCATGAAGAAACATATCCAACTTATTATGACAGGAAAAAAAGTTTCCTCTGTTTTCCCAACTGCTATGTCATACATTAAAAATTTTCTACATAAACTTCTGATAGGATAGAGATCTTTCTTTCTTTCTTTCTTTCTTTCTTTCTTTCTTTTTTTTCTTTCTTTCTTTCTTTCTTTTTTTCCTTAAATCAACTCTCACTGACCTGAGGCAATGTTGTACTCTGCCCATTTATTTTGGGCTCATTTATATTTGAACCAGAACAAGTTGTTTGATATAATCGTGAATTGGATCTATTTGAATAGAGATTGTTCGTGTTCACAGTCTTCTCTTCTTTTTTTCCCTTCTCTTATTTAGAGTAAATTTCACTGCTCCATCCATAATTTAAGAACATGCAAGGAGGTAATTGGAATTGGAGGTAAATTATATTCTTTTGTAGAAGGTATAATTATCGGAAGTTAGTTAAAAACACCTCAATTCTGCTTTAATTTTCATGCATGGAGCAGTTGTTTTGACAGATGGACGGACTTTATTTTTGTAACCGTCCAGGAAAAGTCTGTGCAACACAGTCTAATCAGTGCTACATATCTGTAATGTTTGTTTTTGAATCACTATGCATTTGGCTCCTATATCATTTTCTGGGGGTAGATATTTTCTTAATTTTTTTTCAGGCTAATATCCTTATCTATAATTCCTCTGCCCATTTGATCTGAATAGACGAGAAAAGCTTAGAAAATAAGTATAAATGACTTGTCTCTCAGGATAATATATCATTGCTCCTCAGGTGTGGCCTTATATTTTACTGGTTTGTATTACCTTTACTTTTGACTTCTAAGCTAGCAATTTATAATGCTGTGGGTCTGGAGTAAATTTCAGTAAAATATAAAAGGTCAGTATGGTTGCCTGACTCTCGGGAAGCCAACTTGTTGCTAAACTTGTCTGTGTATATCAAGTTAAATTCCAGAACGGATCAAGGTTTGAAAATGAATTCATTTTGAACTGATTACGCTCTCTTTATTACATTGTAAATCCGCCAGTGCTGAGCAAAGCAGCGAGCGCAGTAGTTTAATGCCAAAAAGTACATTACATTCTGAGTTTTAAGAATCGTCATGGTTCAAGAAAAGGTCAAAAACACTCTTCTTCTGTCTCCCTAGAGCAGAAATGTGTGAAGTGTGTTTCCTTTTTCTGCCACGCTTCCTTCTTTTTTAGAGGAATGTCCAAATTGCTTCCAAATAAAATGAATATCCTGTTTTGGAACACACAAAAACCCTTGGCCACAACAAGTTAGTGAATGAAGGCAAATGAATGATGGGATGGATACTCTTTTATGTAGGTTTTCTCTTAAGAACAAGTCCTTACTGACAATGTCGCTTTCAAGTTTTTTTCTTTCTTTCTTTCTCTGTTTAGTTCTTTTTAATTCAGTTTCTTCCTCTGTTGTTGATGAGTCTTCTTTCAGCTATTTTTAACCAATTTGGAAAGTATTTCCTTCCATTCCTTTGTTTCATTTCGAACATCTTTACACCCTCTAAGCCCAAGAAATTTCTCTCCATTCTATTTGCATCAACCCTCACTTCCAAATAATATTGAGCTAGCCTCTGGGCATGGCAACAGCACAACCTGCTGCCAACAGAGCATTGGATGGGGAAATGAAGGGAATCATTCCAGGCCTTAGGCCAATAGGGTGTGCCTAGATGCTTTGTAACACATAGACTTCGTTATCTGCATTCTCCATAGAACCCTTGGCCAGGTTTCGCAGCTAGAGTCCTGTGATTGATTTTGTTCCAACAACTCTATAAACCAATAGTTGTCATACTACAGTGATTCCTCTTCAACAGCTAATAGGAAACAAATTGAAATTAGGATATTCAGTGTGGCCTATTTCCCCAGTTTTCAAGAACCCTGACAGTTTTTTTAGTCACTAATTGCAAACTTCTAGTTTCCTTTGAAGGACATCGTTAGTCACTTGCAAATTGCTACTTAGTTCATCTAATCTATAAAAGATAGAAAGCCCACAAATGATATGATTCAGAATTTATTGCAGTTGCAGAGGTGACATACGTCTTTGTTTATGTTCACAAACATTTGTGCTCATAAAATATATTCTTCCATTTTTTATGGAAAAAATAAGAAATATTTTCTTTTTCTTATTATGGAGAACTAAGTTATATTCACAATTTTCTAGGAGACACTTATGAATTACTGATGGGACTAGAGAATTTGAGTTTGTATATAAAACTGCACTCATATCTTTAAAGGCATGGCAGATAAACTGAGGACCTGTTCTTTTCTAAAATGAACAAGACATCCATCTGGGTCTGCCATGATTATTTATTAGAATATCCATTTGCTTACCCATATATACACAGCCAATTTCTTGGTTTCAACATATGGTGCTGGAACTGGTTATTTGTAATCTTGAATACTGTAATATTGAGCCCACAATCAGGAATGATTGTCTTCATATCAAAGCAGGATATGTGGCCACCTACATATTTTAAAGTCAATATTTTCCTGAAAATGGCTTCTTTGCAAATGACTGTTTTTTTTTTTTTTTTCTTTTTCTTTTTAAGAGTGCTAATAAATCTTTTGGGTAAGACTCATGAATGGCTCATTTGTAAATGAGTTTATCAGATGTTTCCCCTTCCACCACCTCTTTCCTCTGCCGAAGTCTTCATGTCCTATCCTCTTGGGGAAGGAGGAGAAACTATCAAAGAATGAAAATTTTGTTGCTAAGAGTACTGAAAGTTAAGTTGTACCTGTTTCATGGTTTTACTAGGATATACTCCATTCAAAGAAAAACATCAATGAACATCCCCATACCTTTTAAACTGAACATTTTTTCCTCATAAAAACTTGCAAATCAGTTGATTTCAAGAGCATAGTTTTATGTTACAGTGTCCTACCAGAGAAATCAAAATTCAGGACCTTTATAGCAAAATAGTCCAAGCAATTATAGGTTTATTTTAGTTATCCTCCAAACTACTCAGCATATGCTATTAAAAAAGATGAGATATAACTGGAAACTTTTGTTATTTCACTTGAAACAACTTAATTCATATTTAGGACAGGGTGTCACAAAAATATCATCAGGTTTCATACTAGAAAAAAACAGTGTTGATGGACAGCAATTACTTGAATCTAAAAGTCCATGTTACTCTTACATTTGGTTAGTTATTCCTTATTTTATGGGGAGAATGAAGTTAAAACCAAAATTGTCAGCTGCAAATACAGAATACAAATGTCATGTGGAAATGTACTCAAATAATTATAACACCTCAGTTATAAACTCCAAGTTTCTATGTAAGTCTCAATGCTTTCTGACCTTTCACAGAGTGAAAGGTGAGAAGTCACAGGTCATACAGAATGACTTTCGGAATATAACAAACTTAGAAGTGCTAGGACCAAGCCAGTCCTCTATTATGTTTGCAAGGCTTGCTTGCACTGTATCCCATATTTTTTATTTTTACCTGCATTTATAGTTACATATTTGGTTCCTAATTTCAAGTGTTTAAAAAAATAAGAAAGCCTATCACCAATGACAAAATAATTTTCCATTCATTTTTATTATTTCATATATAAGCAATCATTTGATATTTTCCAAATGGGTTACGAATGATGTTCAAATTTCATATTTAATAGAAATTGGTATTATCCTTTATGTTACTTTACTTTTTAAAAAATTGAACTCAAAGTTGATTTTTGCAATGAAATTTTTATCATTATCTTATTTAGTGAATCCATCAATCAAATGATTTTTTCCTTTTCTCATTTCTGAGTTGTCTGTGATTATTGGTTATCTGGAACCTTTATTCTACTTTTGTACAAATAAATACTTGGTTGTCAGGAAAGTCATGATATGTTTTTTCTGTGCAAAAATGCATCATGGTTTTTCTGACAACCTAATAGTTTTAATGAAAGAGTTATAGAAAGGTATATTGACCCTCAAAGAGAAAGAAGTTCTATAATTTTAATGTGTATAATAATATGAATGGAACAACAGAATAAGAAACAGGCCCTAAAAATGTAGGGGAAAGGATACAAAAGAGAAGAAACATGTCCAAGCTGCCTCCCACTCTAGAAGCAACCTCCGTCATGGCTGCTGCTTGAACTCACTGGTTTTCCTTTTGTCTTGCAGAAAGAATGTGCTAATTTCATCAAAGTACTTAAGATGTACAATCAGACTCACTTGTACGCCTGTGGAACAGGGGCTTTTCATCCAATTTGCACCTACATTGAAATTGGACATCATCCTGAGGTAAAGCTGGTTTTTAAAAACTGGTGTTTATTCATGACTCCTTCCTATTCAAATGCTTCATTGCTAATGTCATCGGCTCATTTAGTTCCTGGTTCACTATTCAGTGAACCCACTTCTAATTCAGATGCTGTTATTAATTTTAATCTGTAAATGCAAAAAGAATAAGACCATCATTCACAATAACTGCGGAACAGGAGGAAGGAAGGAAGAAAGCATTTGTTTTCACCCTGGATTACGGAGTCCAATCCATTTTGCATGTGCAGCAGATGTCAGCAAACTGAATGTGTGCTGTGTTTTCATTCATTTGTGTATTGCCAGCTCTCCCCTCCATTTCCACCCTCAGCCAGAAGTGTCTGCCACCCAGTTGTTTTCTTCTGCCTTAAGAAAGGATTGCATACGTGTGCACAATGATTGGATCTCACGATTTGCTCAAAGTATTCACATTCATGTGTTTGATCAGCTAAGCTTTGTTTAGTATTTTTGATTATTATTTTGGTGGTATGGAAAAAACAAAAAACAAAAGAACATGTTTCTTTGTTTCTCTCAAAAGGTATTTCAGAGAAAATCTAGTGAGAAAAGTATAGGTAGATAAATTTAAGTAAAAAAGGGAAAAAAAGAAAAGTTGTTAGTGTTAAAAGCTACTTCAGCAAAATTGGACTTATCAGTAGCTTTCAATTATAAACCCTTTTATCATTTTTGGCACAAAATTCTAAGTAGAACAAAAGCAATCATGTGGTGAGAAAATCATGGTGACAGAATTTTCTTCCAAATTGGGATTCAGAAATATTCAACAAATGAAGGAATTGTCCCTGGAATATTCCTGGAATCCTGAAGATAAAATCTAATTTACACTAGTTACATCTTATTTTTTTTTTTTAGAGGTTTTGCCTCAGTGAGCATGTGCTTGCTGTAGGTAAATCCCACTTAGACTATAGCACAGTTTGAGTCCCAGACCTGGTAGCTTGGGGGAGACACTGGATACATGTACATGTGTGCTCCAAAATCTGAAAAGGAGAATGAACGAGAAAGGATTGCGGTGTGGCCATCCACCCTGGGAAATTATTTCACACTTTCACTTTCTCTCTGTCTCTCTCCAGTGAGCGCACATGCCCTATAGCAAAGACTAAAGCCAAACCAAACCAAAACAAACAATAAAAAATTTTTGTTCTACCTTCTTTATAAAAGGGAAAAAAAAAAAGCTACTTAGAAACTAAGTGGTTTCTAAACTAAACAACTATTATTATTTGTTAAATTTCATGAGCCTTGGGAAGCTTAAGATACTTGACCAAGGTCTCACCAGTGTATACAGTCATCCATAGATCTAATTCCCCTGCCACATTTTTTTCTACTCTCCGTCATAAACACATATATTATTCTCATTGACATACCCAAACTTTTAAGTAAATTGTAGCTTTAAGGAAAGACAATTCTACTTAAGTTGCCTGTTTCATGTTGGTGAAATTAGGAACACGTTCATGACCTTGATCCTGGAAATGTAATATCCTAGAGACTTAATACACTTAATTTGCACCTTCTGATTAAATCACTCACTCTTTGCTGTCTTCTCAGCTACTTTCTGTATTAATAAACCAGTTGTCCTAAAATGGGCCCAGAGTGATTGTTCCACTTTACTGTTTTCTGGAAATAGTTTTAGAAAACTACCTCCATGTCATATTGCACTTTTTACACCTATCAGCAATCAGGCAATGGAGTCAGGAATGCTGAGCTCCTAGCACAGATTAACAGAAAAGATATGGACTTTGGTTTCACATTTAGCTTCACATTTTGCTTGACAACTTATTAGCTGTGGAGCACTGGAAAAAAATAACTTCATCTCTCTAAGAGATTAACCTTTTCATGTATTTTATTTATTTATTTATTTGAGGTTTTTGCCTTAAGGAGCATGTGCTCACAAGAGAGAGACAGAGACAGATATAGTAAGAGGGGAAGTGAGAAATCACTCTTCTGGACGGAGATGACCATGCCACAATCCCTTATTCTCCATTCTCCTCCTGACATTTTGGGCACATACACACATGCCCCATGTTTCAAGCCACTGGGTCCAGGACTTGAACTGCAGTCGACCATGTGATAGTCCAGTTTCAACACTGCTATACCATCTGTTGGTCCCTCTTTATGTGTTTTAAATGAGGTTGCCTTATTACTTCTTACACTCCCTTCCAACCCTCCCAGCAGGGCATGACTCATTGACAGTTTTAGCAATAGAGACTCAAGTTCTATCCCATCATTGTTAAAATGATGTCCTTTGGCCTCAGACTCGAGGACTTTTATTCAACTTCAGTTCAGTACTAGCTGCTGGATTTGAAGCAAGTTATCAATATGTATTTTCTCTCTCTGTTTCTAATCTAGAAAGTTGTAACAAAAATAGTTTCTACCTCATACAATTGTGAGAGTTAAATGCTGTCCAATAGATAGTAGATGCTGAAAAAGGTCAATTACTGTTAGAAAATACATTTTTTAAATATAACTCTGCATCTTAAGCTGAGAGCTGTTGCTGTTACTTTTGCTAGTAACCGTCCCTTCGCCTCTTAATTGCTCCTCATTGCATCAGAGATTGTAAATCATGGAACTTGGCTCTCATATGTTGCTGGGTGATTCTGCACTTATTTTAATTTCCGTCATTTTAAAATTTAAGGCTTCCATTATTTTTATGGCCATTTAAATTAAAATGGAATATGTCATCCTTGCATTTTTATCATTTTTCCCATCACTTTAAGTTTTTTCTTCCCAAAGTTTCTGTTTAATAGAGTCAACAGTTTTTTCATTCTGAAACCCATCAGCTACTCTTTTCTGCCTTATGAGTGGATAGTTAGGGGAATGGAGAGATACAAGTCTGGAACTGTCCATTTACTCAGGATTTCCCACTGAAATAATAACTAAATAAAGCTTCCCATTTGACCTTCTTTAAGATAGAAGATGGAGGTGCAGGTATTTCATAGATATTCTGAAACTTACAGCCTTTGAGAATGGTCTTCTTTCAGAAGCTCAGTGATTTTGAATTGCCTGACAACTATAGATTGAGAAATCCTGTTCCAGACTGTTTAGGTCAAAGGAAGATGATTATGTAATTACCTGGGGAATTCGAGGCAGTCTAGACAGTCAATCTAGGAAATTCTGGAAAAGATATTATCAAGATAGTGCGTCTAGACTACATCAAATTGAATTTTTAATACTTAAGCTTTCCTAAGAGAGAATCTGATTTAAATTGATCTATATGGGTACTTAATATAAGACCCTTAGATTTCAACAGTTATGTTGTTTCTGAAGTTTGAAAAAAAAAAAAAAGTTAAGGTATACTTCAGACTCTTAAGCAAAGATGACAGTAATGAAAGAGTACAAAATAAAATTGCAATTGTGACAGGAGCCAGGATCGTTGGATTAGAATTCATAAGCTCTCATGAAGTTTGGATTTATCAACTTTTATTTGTAAGGGTGACTTTTGAAGAAAAAGTACAGATCTTTCTCTTGAGGCATTGCATATGTACTTTGCTGTTAACCTGCTTGACACGGCCTGAAATAATAAAATACAAATTCCCTTTTAAAATTTTTTCCAGAATTTACATTTTGCAAATAATTTTATAAGAAAGAAAGCCATTTCACTTTTGCTTTTAACAATATACGTGGACATTATAACAATTTTTTTTTAATTTGCAGTTTTTACCTATGAAATAATACATTGCCTTTTATAGAATTGCCAAGATTGCTGAAATCCCATTGTAAGAAATGGCTTTATAGACTTATCATTCTAGAGGGTAGAATGCCATAGAAGTAAAGACATCACTTTTGAAGCAAATCCATTCATCACTTAATATCTTTGAAGCTTACGGGAGAAAATGAACTGTTCCTCTTAAGCAATGATATGGTAGCTTGAAAAATAACCTCCAGTTTAGTTTTCTAGTTATAAAAATACACCACTTCTACTTTCTCTGCATTTATGAGTTTTATTCAACTGTCTTGAATAGTGTATTCCAAAATCTACTCTTGCTGTCTAGTGATGCCTTTTGACCACACACGGTATGTCATTGATTGCTGCATTAAACAGATTTTCTGTTTCCTGTGGCACATTTGGGAATTGGTAGACATATTAATTAACTCCAGTTCTGCACGATGTGTGTCAATCAATTCTTGGGTATCTGCCAATAGCACTTGACACTGCAGACAACTGCCAATGAGATCACATACTTCATACACATGTGTGTGTTTATCATAAAATGCATGCAGAGCTTATGGAAGAAATGACTCAGAGCTTGAGTACAGATGAGTTTTGCCTTTAAGCTCTCAGTATTCATGCCATTCAAATAAAAAGTGTAAGTCATCCTTAAGAGGCAGAATATTCCCCAATGGCTTATAGTATATGGTATTTCCCCTTCACATTTACATCTGTTAATAAAAAAAATGTATGAAGTTAGGAGGAGTATAGCTTTTCGAAGAAGTCTCTGCATGTTTTCTCAAATTCCAAATGGGGCTCTTCTCTGTACTGGCAGGAAATCTACAGAAAGATGGATCCAGATGAGAGCTGGAAAGTATTAACTCTGTAAATACTCTCATAATGTCATGATCTCAATTTATGATCGAACCAAAGGGACATTAAGAAATGCAATGAAGCTTAATGACTATCTCTAAGGTCATTTCTACAAATGACAACCAATATATCTACATAGGAAATAAAATGTTTTGTCTGGTTCTTCACTTCCACCAAGAATGAGTTTGCTTTTAGACAAAACTCTGAATCAAATACTTTTAGTAACAGAAAAAAAGAAAAAGAGTCAAAAGTACAAACTAAGACACTCCATAACCTTATTTAACATGTTTTAAATCATTATTATGTATTTTGACTTGATTGCTCTGAATAGTTGATATATAAACAAAATAATTTTGAGATTAACTTTTTTTTTCATTCTCTACCACTTATTTAGTTCAGTTGTGAAATGTGTTTTTTCTCACAGTATTTTGTGACTTTTTAAGGCGAAAATGCTATT